GTGGAGCCCTTTTAAAAAAAGGAAGTAGAAAATGGTTAGATGCTCAAAGGAAAGAGAGACAAGGTGAACCAGAACCACATAAACGGAGGGTTGATCAGTGCTGCAAGCCAAGGGTTGGGAGTCCCAGGACAAGGAAGTAGAAGATGCTAGCAGGAAAGAGGTTTATGTAATATTCAGCAGCCTTGATACAAATGGGACCATAGCATGGTGCCTGGGGTGGAGAGGGAAATCAGTGAATTCACTCACTCATTCATTCATTCATTCATTCACTATTCAAAATGTATTCAATATTTATTACACACCTAATAAAGGTCAAGTTGGTTCTAGGTACTGATAACAACAATGAATAAAACAAACTACCTGTCCTCATAAAGCTTACATTCCAGTGCATATAGTAAAAGAGGGAACAGATATACACAACATTTATTCAATATCTAAGTACGTATTAAAGTTCCAGGCACTATTCTATGCATTTGGGATACAGTAGTGAAGAAAATAGACATCAGCTCCTGCTCCCATGGAGCTTACATTCGGAGAAAAGACAAACATACGAACAAGAAATCAGACAGTGGTAAATATTCAGAAGAAACACCACACAGGGTAATATGCCACAGTGACAGGCAGGGGCAGCTGGTTTAGATGGCTGGCCAGAGAACGTCTTTCTGAGAAGGTAACATCCATGATGAGACGTCATTCACAGGAAGGATACAGTTCGTGTGATGATCTGGGGACACAGCATTTTAGGCAGGAAGAGCAAAGGCCAAGGCCCTTGGGTGAGTCTCAAGGATAAACAGAATTGCTCTATGGCAAGAGAGAGGGAGGAGATTTGTCTGCGGCGAAGTCAGAGAGAAGAGGAAGGTCAGACATGCAGGGCCTTTTATAGTCATAGGAAGAGGAAGGAGTTTGGGTTTCATGCCAAACTTCTAGGTTAGAGGAAATGAAGGGCTTTCAATGTGTTTAAGGTAGGAACTGAAGTGATAATGACGTGGCTGCTATGGGAAGATTTTCAGAAAAGCAAAAATGAAAGAGGGATACTAGGAGGAGAGAGAGCAGTTGAGGAAAGTCTGACCAGGTGTGGTAGGCAGAATAAGGGTCCCCCAAACACATCCATATCCTGATCCCAGGAACCTGTAAATGTACTTCCTTACGTGGTAAAATGGACTTTGCATGTTTTAAGAATCTCAAAATGGGGAGATTATCCTGGATTTTCCAGATGGGCCCAATGTAATCACAAGGGTGCTTAAAAGAGGGAAGCAGGGGCTCAGCGTCAGCTACAGGAGATGTGATGGCTGAACTAAGAGTAATGAAAGGAAGGGCCCATGAGTCCAGGAATGCAAGTGTTTTCCAGAACCTGAAAAAGGGAAGGAAACAGCTTCTCCTCTAGAACCTCCAGAAGAAATGCAATCCTGCCAATACCTTGATTTTAGCCCAGTAAAACATCTGAATCCAGATTGTCAGGTAACAAGTTTGGTTGTTTGAAGCCACTGAATTGGTGGTGGTATCTTCCCACAGTAGCAATGGGGAACAACTGCACAATGTTAAAAGAGGGATGATAAAGAGGAAGGGCAAAACTGGAAGGAATTGCAAGTTGTGGTCAAAGACTGATACGTTTGGGTTTACACCTTTGTAGATAAAAAGCTCAACCAGACAATGAGCCCAAGGACATGCCCACAGGTGTAATTTACTAACGCAGAGTATGGAGCAGGGTTGTTAGAACTGAAGAGGTCAGCAAATGCTGAACCTAGGAGTTATTAATATTTATAAGATTACCAAAATACTCAGAAGACTAATGGAAGCATGGGTGGATGAAGTAGAAGCAAGCAATGCCACAGTCCCCAAGGAAGGAGGGGTAATTAGAAAGCACATGCCACTGAAAATGGATAGGAGATGGTACAATTAAGCACAGTGATGCTCAAGTGACAAATGAGTTTGCAGAAGGATCAAAAGATAATTTGGAAGTGGCTTTGTGAAACTAGAGGAAGGTCAATAGCATCCCTGACTCCTGGTGACACAAGAAAAAGACAAAGAGCTGGAAGGAAAATAAGCAGACTGTGATATCACAGAAGCAAACAGAAGAAAGAAGATGGCGGGCAGTGTCCAGTGCTGCTGAGAGGTCAAGATGGAATTCTAAAATGTCCAGTGAATTTATCAAGCGGTGGGTACAGGAGCCAAACTACAATATGTTGAGAACAACTGGAAGGTGAAAGCAAGACAGAAAGCAAAGGCAACTCTTGTGTGTGAAGGGAGCTGGGGTGGGGGGGGAGAGCAGCTCCAAGAAGGGCATTCATAAGATGAAAGAGCCCTGATGTATCAAGGTCAATGAGACAGACCCAGATGAGGGGGAAAGATTGAAGGTACAGAAGAAAAACAACAATAATGTCCGGTCCTTGAGAAGGCAAAGGAGATGGGAGCCAAAGTACAAGTGAGTGATTAGTTTTAAGAACTAAAAAACTCTGTTGTAACCAGAAAGGAAGAGAACGAACAGATCCAGATACAGGCAGATTTTTAAGATCGCTGCAGCTGTGAAGGTCGAGGAGTGGTGACCCATAGAACCATAAAAGTCACCCAACTCGGTAAGAGCACCTACCCTGGAAAGGGAGATATCGAGCCAGGTGGTAAAGTCTTCCATGAGCAGGTGGCAGAAAATCATCAGATAGCAACTAACAAAGAACTCTCCAATTCCAGGCAGATAAGCATTTAACCAACCATAAACTATCATAAACATTTACAGTTACGAAAACAAATAGGCATGTCTGGGCAAAATCTGGGCCTCCCCCCTTTACTGGCTATGTGACCCTGTGACTCTGGAGGCATTATTTAACTTCTGAATGCATTTCTTCATCTGGAACATAAGGATAACACAACTTCCTGTATCAAAGGATTATTGTAAAGATTAAGTCAAATGATACACATGGGGTCCTTAACTAATGCTTAATACAGAGGAAGTACTTAACATTGCCAGCTATTATTCATTTAGAAAAAAATTCATGTGTCAATAAGATCCGTAAAGTAGAAGTCTCAGAATTGAATCTACAGCGCAATTCTGGCAAGAATGTATAATCTTCTACCAAGCTCATTTTGGGTGAGAACTGCAGCCCATCTTTTATTTTTCTTGCCTTTACTTCCTCACTTGCTTTAGATTTTATTCTACTTTTGTGTTTCCGTACATGTTGAATCAAGGCCTGATATAAATAAAATAAAGCCTAGTAGAAAAGTTGAATCTATCTTACCACTTTCATCACTTTCTCCAGACTGACAAAAAGTCTCACAGGACAAATAAGTTAACAGACGTGTGCAGAAAAGAGTTAACATAGCTGCTCTGAGGTTGATGTGTTTAGAAAGGCCTGCATATAACGTTAGCCCATGGCTGGTATGTAGAATTTGGATTTTGGTAGGGTTACCACCTCTCTACCTCATAAATGCGGCCAAACTGTTCGTATAAACAATATTGTGTTTATGCCGAACATCTGCTTTCCTTCTGTGAATCTGGAGTTTCAGTGTATGCTGGGCAGAGAGGGTGCCTACGTGATCAGCCCCCAATAAAAACCTTGGGCGCTGAGTCTCTAATGAGCTTCTCTGATAGGATTCCACACGTGTTGTCTCAACGTGTTGCTGGGGAAATTAGGTGTGCCCTGTTATTGATAAGCAGTGTCAATAACATCAGCATTTTATCGTTAAACAGCATTTTACTATTAACTTATGTCCCAGTTTATAAGTTTTATACACAAATTAGGTTCACCATTTCCTATGTCAGCTCTACAGGAAAAAGATATGAGGAAAATCTAAGTAGTACAACATTTCTATATAGTAGGTCTATTAAATTTTCTAAAATATAAGACTCCTAAGTTTTTAAAAGATATATACTACAAATAGTAAAAAACTAAACTACAAAAGACAGAAATGTTTTGGTGTCAAAATGACAGAACTGAAACCTTGGGAATAAATCCAACTTTAACATAAAAGCTCCTCTCCATACAAGAATGTATGGAAATATAAAAACGAAATCTAAAACAAACAAAAACCGTTACTTCGCCACTCAAATAATCTGAGAACTACGGAAGTGTATTTATTGTCTCATCTCCCAAAAGTTCCAAAGGGAATAGAAATAGAACAAAAGAAGGAGCTGTGGCCGAGAGCAGTCGTGGCACAGGAAGATGAAGCTCATGTAAGGTAACCACAGATTCTCGGTGTAAACGTCATGTGACTGTTTTTCCCCTAATTATTTTTATATTCAATTTACTAAAATTCATTTTACAAGACAGTCTATCCTCTCCCTCCCCTTAAAAACAAAGTCTGGTGTGTTATGACTAAATGACAAATTCTGTGCTGCATAACTTAATTGGTTTAGTAGTCTTCTGGGTTCTGATCTCTGGAACGGTTCACCGAAATTTGCACTATTAGGAAAAAGAAAGTAAGAATCCAGGTAGATAGAGATCAAACAGCCACAGCTATAAAATTCCTGTCTTATTCCACATGTGAGTAAAAGACCACGGTGGGTACATTAGAAAATGAAATAGGTTTTCAAATTCTAGATTTCCAGCTATTCAGCACAGAGGAATATGGTGTATAGCACAGGCCAAACCATAGCAATAAATAATCCATTTATTACCTTCTATTATTATGGATGCCTGAGACTTTGACCTCAAACCTGCCTATATTTCAGAGCCATTAAAGACACCACTCAAGGCAGCTGCTTTCCTCTATCCAGATGGCAAAGACCATTGCTAGGAGAAGTGCTTGTGTTGGTTTACAGATTACTGGCAACATAAGTAACTAGAAGAATATTGAAATCTAGGCTAGGAAGGGTAGCTGCTGCTGATTAATTCACATGGCAAGTGAAGATCAGCATTCCCCCTGAAAATAAACTAAATTAAACCAATTCATTTTGCCTCTTCACTAACATACTAAGAAAATATTATACCAGATGAAATCATTATGTTCGGTGTCAAGAGAAGTCAAATTTTCAAAGTATTTTGATAGTGAATGAATTCAAAACTCACCATTGCAAATGCACTGACAGTTGGTTTCTTTTCCTTCTTTTCTTTTTTACTGAAAAACATAGAAATAAAATTACACAAAACTTTAAAAACTATATAAATTTTTTAAATTATCAAATTAATATAAAGCTTATATTTAATAACAAGAAGGACAACAAAACATGTCTATAGTATTCAGTAAAAAACAGATTAACGGTATGATCTCATGTATGAAGTTTAAATAAAAATATGTTTACATATATCTTAGAAATCTATATATGTAGTTGTCACTAGGTGTTAGTGACAACTCTCTATAAAAACATTTTCTTCTTTGTGCCTTTGATATTTTCTAATTTTCTATGATAAATACACATACATCTCTTTTGCAATTAGAAAAATATCTATACTGAAAAAAAAGAGTTCCTTGTTTTTATTCTTATTAGACAATCATTCATGCTCTCCAGAATTAATTCCCTTAATATCATCTAAGTAATTCTAGCAATAGATATTCTACCTATCCACTACCTAGATATTATTCTTAATCACTCCCTTTACTAATGAAGAGTAGTGACAATCAGATGCTGGTCATAACTAGCCTAAGGAAAAAAGTAGTTAAATCACTCTCAATGAGCAAATCTAATTCTAAAAAAAATATGTGGAGCTTTAAATGGACATTCTGACATAAATGCAATCTATAATGGCTATAGCCCAAAAAGATGTTCTGCCCACTGTCGAAAAGCTTTCCTCAGGCATAAGAAGGTCAACTATCATTTTGACCCCAGATTCAAATGAATCCAACTCTGTAACCCATTTTCCACTCTATATAACTGCCACCTAGGATGTGAATGCAAACCAACCATAACAAATCAGCTTCATCTACACTTCTGTATGTATAAAAGACTATTTTAGAAAAGAATCACATTGTTTTTGCACAGATTTTTAAGTTCAAAAGGTTAATTCATCTTTGTCTTCATTCTTTACACTATGTGAGGTCAAAAGAGGTGAAGAAACTTCTGAAGAAAAAAATACAGGGTTTACCCATATTAGGCTTTGGAGTGATGTTAGACAGGCATAAAAACACATAAAATACACAAACATAACTGTTCAGGTTTGGGCCCACCCTATTTCCAGTAAAGTCATGGTTTCACTTTCCCTGGAACCAGTGTGAAAGGAGAAAAATAGCTATAAATAATTTGAGTTTCAGTTCTACGTTTTTTATTGATTTTTTTCATTCTCTAAAACTGCTGCTACTCTGGAGAACTTGTAATGTTCCAGGTACTAGCTTAGTAAGTACTTGCCGCACATGATCTATTAACAACTCTATGAGGAAGACATATTTTTGTCCTACTTTTAGAGATGAGAAAACTGCATGAGAGAGCAGAGTTAACTAACTTGTCCAAGGCCCCACAGTTGGAACAAAGCCAAGATTTAAATGCCAAGTCTGTTCCCTGACCATCAACCTATAAGGGTTGACCTCGGACTTTTGAGATACTGCATAAACGCACCTTCACTCTCTCCACTCCTACTAGATTACTTATTTATCTCCATCAGCACAAAACACAGTGCTTATAAAAGCAAGTCACTCATCAAACATTTTAAAAAAGAATCTTTGCAAATACATATATTCCAAATAGTACTATTATTCCAGTATTATCTATTATCAAAGCTATGTATATGCTTCTTTAAAATCCCATGTTAAAATATATAGTTAAGAACAGATTGAAATCAATGACAATGAGCACAGTTCAATAAAAACTACTAATCTAAAATATAATCTCTAATTTGAAAAATGCCTGTAGGCCATAATAGAACCAATAACAAAATGAAGATACATGCAGGATCAATTTTCCTTACTATTCCCCTTTACATGCCCTCTATACTTATTATTCAAATATACCTAACTATTTGTGTCATAGTTCTTTAAGCTTAAAAAAATAAAAAGTTAGAAACCAAAGTGGAATATCTACCCTCTGCTCTATGGAGTCTTTTTCATTGTTTATATGGAAATTTACTATGAAAATTTTCACATAAACAGAAAAATCAACAGAATAATATGACTACCCATATAATTTACATAGATTCAACAACTGTTAGCATTTTGACTGTATTTTCTTTGTCTATATAAAACAGTATATATCATTGTTAATATTTTGCTGAAACTATTTAAAAGTAAGTTGCAAATATGGCAATCACCCTTTCACCTACCATTATCATATCTAAGAAAATTAATAGCATTTTTGATATCATCTAATATCCAATCTATATTCAAATTTACCAAGAATATTTTCTATAGGTTTTTTCTATTTTGAACTCTGATATAATCAAGGTTGACACATTATATTTGATGGTTATATCTCTGTAGTCTCTCATAATCCAAAAATCCTCTTTTTTTTTTTCCTGGACATTGACTTTTTTAAAGAGACAAGAACTGTTGTCTTATAAAATGTCCCATATCTTGGATATTTGCATACAAATTGAGAGGGGCAGTAAACATAAAATATACATCAGACTGAAGGACTTAGTATAAAAAAGAGAATGTAAACTATCTCATTAATAATTTTGATTTCATGTAGAAATTATAGTATTGAGGACACATTGGGCTCCATAAAATAGTTTCAAAGTTAATTTCATGTTTCTTTTTATTTTTTAATGTTGCTACTAGAAAACTTAAAATTAAAAATGTGGCTCACATTATTTTTCTATTGGACAGCACCAGTCTAGAAGCTCAGTTGGGTTCAGATGAAACATTTTTGCAAGCACACTTCCCAGGTGATGCTGTATACTCAAATTCTATTGCATGACGAGTCACTTAACACAGTCTATCCTACCATGAGTGATACCACGTCTGATTACTTGGTTAAGGTGCTAACTGCAAAATTTCTCATTGGAAAAGTACATTCTCCTTTTTCCAATTAGAAAGAATTTTGGAGATAATTTTTAGATAAAACTTTTCTCTGAATGGTTGAGGATCCACTTATGATCTCTGCCTGAATTCCACTTAGGATCTCTGCCTGAATTAACAACAACAGTGTAGGATCCAAAATGATAGCTAACATTTTCCTGTAAAGAACATTCCTTTATTTCTCTACCTCACACTGTTTCAGTTTCTATCCTCTCAGAATATTAAGTTGATTAAGTTGATACAGTTGATTAAGGATCCATCAACTGTATTGTATTCAGTATCTTAAAATCAATTACAGTTATTATTTTCTTTGATGTTCAGGTTGCCCCACATTTGGTCAGTGGAGGCCCCTTCAAGTCAACTCCAGTGTATTTTTGACTATTCCATTAAATTCTACTTTCTTATTTTCAAGAACTACAAGATAGCTCAGGCTCAGTTTGTATTTTCCTTGTCCCAGACCTGGCTTAAATTAGCTATTTTTCTATGAGGTGCTTATTCCTTTTAGGGAAAAATGGTATTTAGAAACCAAGATCTGTTGGAATAGGACTGAGACTCAAGAGATGAAACCATCTGCATATGGTAACCTAATCTTTGATAAAGTAGACAAAAATATACATTGGGGAAAAGAATCTCTCTTCAATAAATGGTGCTGGGAAAACTGGATAGCTACATGCAGAAGAATGAATCAGGATCCATACCTCTCACTTCTCACAAAATTCCACTCAAGATGGATAACAGACTTAAACCTAAGGCATGAAACCTTAAGAATTCTAGAAGAAGATGTTGGGAAAACACTTTCAGACATTGGCCTAGGCAAAGAATGCTTGAAGAAGACCCCCAAAGCAATCACTGCAGCAATAAAAATAAATACATGGGATCTGATCAAATTAAAAAGCTTCTGCATAGCCAAGGAAACCATCACTAGAGCAAATAGACAACCTAAAGAATGGGAGAAAATATTTTCTCTCTACATTTCTGATAAACATCTGATAACAAGAATCTATATAGAACTCAAAAGAATTAACAAGAAAAAATCAAACAACCCTATCAAGAAATGGGCAATGGAAATGAACAGAAACTTTTCCAAAGAAGACAGAATGATGGCTTGCAAACATATAAAAAAATGCTCAACATCTCTAATCATTAGAGAATTGCAAATCAAAACCACAATGAGATATCACCTAATCCCAGTGAGATTGGCCTGTATTAAGAAATCCCAAAACAACAAATGCTGGCAAGGATATGGATAGGAACACTCTTACACTGCTGGTGGGACTGAAAATTAGTGCAACCTTTGTGGAAAAGAATTTGGAGATACCTCAAACAGCTAGAAATAGAAATACCATTTGACTCAGCAATAGCATTGTTAGGCATCTACCCAAAAGAGCACAAAACATTCTATTATAAAGACATTTGCACCTGAATGTGTTTACAGCAGCACAATTCACTATTGCAAGGACATGGAAACAACCCAAGTGCCCATCAATTCATGAGTGGATTATTAAAATTTGGTATATGTTCACAATGGAATATTACTCAATTCTAAGAAATGACAGTGAGCTACCATCATTTATACTATTCTGGATTAAGCTTAAGCCCATTATCCAAAGTGAGGTAACACAAGATCAGAAAAATGGGCTCCACATGTACTCGCCATCAACTTAGTACTGACTGATTAACACTATGGTGCTCAAAGGGTGGTGGTGTTCACCAGGGATTCTGGGGTGGGGAGGAGGTAGACTCCATATCTTAGGGATGTGGTGAGCATTGTGGAGGGGAAGGGCATACCTCTATCTCTTGCTAGGGAGAGGCAAAGATATAAAATGTAACCAAAATATTCATACTTTCATATTTTCTTGAAATAATAAAAAAAAAAGAAAGAAACCAAGACCTGGCACTAAGAGTACTCATTGCTACTGCCCCTTTCAGAGAACTGAAAATTAACTATTAAAAAAAATCGAGTTCATATTGAAGTGTCTAATTAAATTTTAACATTATTTTTTAAAAACTTATTTGATTTCCACATTTGCATTTTTTCCTCTTACACTGAAAAGCTTGGTTTCTAATAATACTAATATATTTACAAATTTATCTTACAATTTACATTACAAATAACTACTAACAATGACCCTATTATGCGAAGTTTAAAATGTCCTTGTATAGGCAGAGCACTGTGATCAAAATGTGCTTAAAATAATTATTTTCTGTATGTGGTTATGTTACCAATTATATACGTAGATATTCATTGCTAGTTAAAACGAAACAACCTAAATGTGGTTTGGGTCTTCTGACTCGTCTGCCAAACCACAAACATGCAATGTTTATGTAGCTGTTCACCAGAAGCACGACACTAGACCGCAGAGCATAGGCAGAATATGGGTTCAGGCCTGAGAGAACTTGAAATGTTACCAACACATGGACATGATAAATACCCCAAATACCCTGACTTCATCATTATACATTCTATGCAACTAAAAAGCACATATACCCCATTTCATAAACATATAAAATATTATGTATCAATAAAAGAAGAGAGAAAACAACCCTCCTTCCCCCCTGCCCCACGCAAAAAAAAAAAAGTCCGTGGGAGAATGCTTTCGCTGGGCTCAGCCAAAGAACTTCTGCTCTGCACAGAGGAACTGCTTCCAAAGGGTAGCTTGAGTTACTTTAACATAAAAATAGCAACCACCACACTTCAATCATTTTACAGCTGGATACTAGAAACAAATTGCCCAAATCTGTCAGCTTCGTAAACTATGAATGAAAGTGAAACAAACGGCCCACCTTTTCTTGTCCGGCTCCAAGATGTATTTTTTCCCTGCTCTCATTTTGCTGTCCTCTTCAGCATCCATCGCGACCTAAAGAGAAATCCGAGCCCATTAGCGGAATGCAGGACCTGCAGGAGCCGGGGTGAGAGTGACCTCTACTCCTCCTCCCAGGCCGGAGGGCCCCGAGGCGGGGCGGCCGCCCGCATGCGGGCCATTCCGAGCGCGGGGCCTCCGACCTCTCGGCGCGGGCGGAGTCGGAGCGGCGGCCGCGCGTCCTGCGCTCTGCGCGCTGCCCTGCAGCCCGGTCCCCCTGGCCGCGGGCCACGCTGCCTCCTCCAGCCGCGCGCGGGCCCCGAGACCCGGTCCCCGCGACCCGGTCCCCGCCCGCGCTCCAGCCCGCGTGCCGCAACGCCCTTGCCTAGCTCTGAACACTACGGGTTGGGGGATGCCCCAGGAGCTCCCCTAGCAACTCCGGGTCTCACTCTGCTATGTCCCCAAGAACTTGCGGAGGAGACTCTTCCCGCTCCCCATGCCCCCCGCCCGCCCCCCCACAGAAGACTTTCTCCCGTGGGGACCACGCTCGGGAAACTGGCTGGCCCCACCCTTCTGGGGAGCTGCCCCGTCTGGTTCCCAGCTTCGCGTGCCCCCACCGTCGGGCTTCACCTCGGAACGTCCACAACCGCGTGGGTTTGGGGAAAAAGAGAATTTAGACTTTCGTGGGAAGGCGTGGCGGATACGAACAGCGGCCTCAGCGGCTAAGAGCTCGGAGGAGCAGCTGCTCGAATGCGCCCGGGCTTCCTGCAGCCGGCAGACAAGGCGGCGATGCGCGCAGCCCGCACCCTGGCGCTGTCCTGCCGGGCCAATCAGCCCGCCCACACGATTGCCCCCACACCGGCTTTATTGAAGGCGGATTGCCCGGGAAGTTGCGAAACACGTGGATATTCACGAGGAAAGTCCAGGCTTCCTATTGCCGCTCTGCAAAGGGCAAGCAGGGGAACACACATCAGCTGAATCATCGGGGAGGTGCACACTGATAAAGACGCTTCTCACATGTCTGCACAAGTGTCCGAATCTATAAGAGGCTGTGTGTGTGTGTGCGTGTGTGTGTGTGTGTGTGTGTGTGTGTGTGTGTAAATGTACAGTTGGATTGCTGGGTCTGGAATAGTTAAGGGAAACTTTTCTCTGGCATCGCATTTAATACAATTAATAAAACAACCTCCGACCTCGACCATTCGGTAAATTTCCCTTCCTATCATCATCAGCACCTTTGAAAACGCCGGGAGAAATTTTTCTGCCAGAGTCTTTATTTGGTATGTTTAACAGTTTCTGAGGTATATCTATTCATCTTTATTTGATGATAAATGAAAAGAAAAAGGAAGATTTCTGAATATATAGAGACAGGATTTCAGGGTAGAAATGGTTATTTATTTATTTACAGGTGGTGGGTCTTGCTTTTTTGCCCAGGCTGGAGAGCAGTGGTGTGATTAAAGCTCACTCAGCCTTCGGTTCCTGGGCTCAAGGCCATCCTCCCACCTCAGCCTCTCCAGTAGCTGAGACTACAGGTGTGAGCCACTGCGCCCGGCTAGTATTTTAAACTGTATAATATTTTAAACTTTTAAACGTCGGCTTAGTGCTCATGTTTTTCTCAAGGCATTTCAAAATTCTTGCATTTTAATTCGATCATTAAAACAAACATAGCATGTTTTTAGCATATTCCTTCAGTTGTAATTTCTTTTCATATTCACTGCAATAATTTAACATTTTTTCTTGCGAAAAGTAAATGCAATCTTCACAATTCAAATTTGTAAAGTAGCGCTAACACGTAAGATTTCTTCCTATAAGGATAGGGGAAATAGCTATTTCAGTAACCTCTAGACTGCATTCTCTGACTTACACAGGTTGCCTCTCAGCTTGCTGTGAAAATTTAGAAAGAGACTATCCCTTTACTTTTCACTGTATGATTTAAGGCTATTTCCCCTTTCTTTACATATCTTATACTTCAAAGCCATAATATTCTTTCCATTCTTTACTCCAAATTTTCTTTACCTTGATTTATTTTTTGTTGGACATACAATCAAGTTTTTTATTTCTATACAAATTGTTAATTAGACTTTCCAACAGTCCACTAATTTTTCTCTATGTTCTAACTGGATACACATGTGTACAAAGTTGGTTCACTGCTTAATGTCTTAGCACCAACCAACCCTGTGGTCCACCAAGTGCAAATGTATAAACTTTCATCTTTATTACATATATTTTTAATCTTATTCATGCCTCTGATCTCTGTTTCCACTTTCGTTTGACTTTGTTCTCTCTCCTTTAGTTTATGTGATCTTATATTTTATCCATCCCCATGAATGGCCTTAAATCCTCCTTAAAATATTGCAGGATATAAAAAAGTATTATATAATACTATTATGCTGATTATACTCTTTCTATAGTCTTGAGCTCAAGTGAAGATCTCTATCTAGAACATATATAAATTAAGGGTCAGAATAGCCCAGAGATGTTTTAGTAAGACTCAAACATTCTATTATTATGAGTTTCTTTGCTTCACTGACATGAAAATATGAATACAAAATATGATGACCTAAAACTGACCAGCTATTACTACTGCCAAGCCACAGTGCTTGACTTATTTAAAGACACCTGTCTTGCACTATTGCCTACCACTCCCACCAAGCTGGACTTGGCTGTTTCTCCTTGAGCGTCATTAATTTCCTATGAAACCCAACCAGCACTCCAAGTCAGCACTCACACCGCTTGATTCGAGCAGCTATTTTTTCTTTTTGAAATGTGCTTCCCCACAATCTGCACCTTCTTGTCCTCCACCCTTATGTAGTCATTTCTCCAACTTGTCTGTGATCTCCCAACACTAAAGGTTTGCATCTCTGTTACAATCTGTTCTATACATGCCTGTGAGAATAATAATATATAATGATGATAAAATATAATAGCAATAACGACTAACATTTAGTAAGCACTGGTCATGTACCAGGAACTGTTCCAACCAGGTCAAAGAGATTAACTCATTTAATCCTCACAAGAACCCTAGCAAATGCTTACTATTATTGTTACTCCTATTTTTAGTGAAAGAAACTGAGGTTTACATTATTTTCCCAAAGTCACACAGCTGCCTTTTCAAGCCCCATGAAATGTTGTTTTCTTCATATGACTCCGTCTTAGAAAAACTGCAATGACTCCATGCCACTGACTATATCATATCTAAGAGTTTCCTCTTAGATTTAAGGACCTGTATGCAATTCATTATTTCCCTCTAATCCATCTTCAACCTCCTCACTTCTCTATACCATCTCCCTAGCTCTCAGCATACACATGGTCACTTCTTTTTGGTCAAGCTCCCTGTACCTCTCAGAGATTTGCTCTTTTCTTTCACTCTGTGCCTTTTGACACTTAAATCTTGAAACTAAATCAATTTACCAGACTTTTCTTCTTTAGTATCTGGCTCCATTAAACAATGTGGGCAATTTGGGCTTCAGAGGTAGAAAAACTTAGATTCAGACACCATCTCTGCTGTTTTATTACATGTAAGTTTGAACATGTTAGCTAATTTTTCTCTCAGTTATCTCTTCGGTAAAGAGTAGATAACAATGGTACCTTATAGTGTTGTCGAAAGATTAAGTGATTTATTTTAAAAGCTTGTACAGTGCCTGAAACACCCTAAACATTCAAAAATTGCTTTATATTAGTAATAATACCCCTCTTCAATCTATTTTTGCTCTTCCTTGGCATTCTTCAGCATATATGTAGGTGGCTACATCTATTCACGGACATGTTTTACAAGTTTTTGAGCACTGCTTTAAGACATAGAAAGATTCCCAGACTTTCAATAGTCATAGGAAAAAAAGCAAGCCAAGTACATAAATAGGAAAGAAAATGAATAAATACAATTCCATTTCACACTCCTGTTGCCATTTCTCCTAGCATGTGTCACCAAGAATATATTACCATAACTTCATAACTGGTCTCTCTGCTTCTACTTTTACCCCTCTCTAATAGCTCCTTTGCTCCACCACCTGATCCCCTCCCCCCCAGGATCTTCCTCAGGGTAAACCAAGTAAAATCAGGTAACTATGCAATGGTTTCTCCCAGTCAGAGTAGTATCTAAAGTCCTTCCATGACCCTTACATCCCTCCATGATCTGGCCTCCTTCACCTCTGACTTTACCTCCTATTACTTTTTACCTCATTACTTCTGTTCCAGCCTCACTACCTTTCATTCTGCTCTTTACACATCCAAGCCAGCTCCCACCTCAAGTCATTTGCCCTTACTGGTCACCTCAGCCTGAAACTCTTTTTCATTAAATGAGCTGTTCAGCATGACTCATTTCCTCATTTTTTTTTTTCCATTTCTTACTCAAATGTCCATCCCATTCTGTGCACAACACCTAGAAACAGTGCTGGCACATAGGAAATCCTCAATAAGTAAGTGTTAAGTGAGTGGATGAAAATAACAGTAAGCAGGTTGACCCAGCAAAGTGTGAGCCACGTTTAAAATTATATAAAGGTTTTTGTTTCTAAGAGAACCTTGTTCTTATTTTCTATACTGCTTAAAATTTTCTGATTATTTGAACTTATGCTTATTGAGATTTTTCTCCATAAATCTAGGATTCAGTTCAGTTAATGTTACAAACAATATTTATTTAACAAACATTTGCTGAGTGCCTGCCATATGCCAAACATTGTGCTAAATTGTGTGATCTATGATTTAAACATTATATGCTGCCTTCCAGGAAAGTGTAGATTATTTTATTTGTAGAATTTCTGCTGCCCCGAAGAGACCCTAGGATCATTGTGACAGGGGATCATGTGTTTTATTTGTTTGTTTGTTTGTATAGCAGTTAGCAGACTGCTTTTCCAATAGATCCAGAGATTCCATACATACTACCGTCTTTCCCCAAAAATATATAACAAGGTCTTATATAAAACAGGGTCTTATATTTATTTTTCCTCAAGAAGACACCCGAGGGCTTATTTTCAGGGGATGTGTTATTTTTTTTAAGTATGGTACAACAATCTACATTTATTCAAATATAGTTAAGTCGTCTTCTTCTGGAACATCATCATAAC